ATGGTGAAACCCCACCTCTACTAAACATACATAAATTAGCCGGGCCTGGTGGCACGTGCCTGTAGTCTCAGCTACTCGGGAGGCTAAGGCAGGAGAATTGCTTGAACCTGGGAGGCAGAAGTTACAGTGAGTCAAGATCGCACCACTGCACTCCAGCCTGGGTGACAGAGTGAGACTGTCTCAAAAAAAAAAAAAAAAGAGCACCTTGAAGGGGCCACCAGAGTCTCCCAGAGAGGAAAGGGGCTGTGGCCTGGGGCCCAAAGCACCCAGGGCAGAGTCCCAGGGTGCCTGACTATAATCAGACCTTGAGAAAATCCATTTGCAAAGAGTGAATTAAAACTCACCACTATTTTCTTCTGCAGGATTCCGACACCTCAAGGACAGTCATTTTTAGACGCTTTAGTAACAGAGTAAGTAGCCAGAGGATGTGCTAAGCTTCTGCTTCCCCAGACGGTTGCCTGTCCCCACTGGTCAGGCCACCAAACTTTTCTTAGGCCTCAGATTTGGAAATGGTTCCTCAGATTCAAGTCCATCCAGCCCAGTGAAGTAACAGGGGCTCAGCACCTGTCCACTCTCACTGCTTCCGGAGACACGGGCTCAACTGGCTTCATTTAGGGCCCATCAGAAGATGCTGTTTCAGCCCGGTGACACTTGGCCAAAGTGCCTTTTGGTTTCCCTCCCAGGCTGGAACGTGCTGGCTCTGTGAAGTTACACTGGGAACAAGCACCCCCCAGCCTGGCAGGATGACTGCTGTGGTCAGAGGTGCCCCTGGGGCTTCCGGAGCCACAGTATCTTCCTGAGGGCAGTGCCACAGGAGGTCACAGTGCGAGTGGCCACTGCCAGGCCTGTCCCTCAGGCCTCTCCCCCAAAACAGGCAATGCCTCCCAGCAACCTACCCCAGGGGGGCAGGCGTGGGAAGGCCACCATTGGCCCATGTTGCTGGGCTCTGGAGGGCTTGGTTGGTAACAGGCCATGGTTCCTGTGAGCCAGCTGGGGTGTGAAGGACACAGGCTGGATTCACCTCTCTGGGCCTCGGTTTCTGCATTCAGAAAATGGGAATAATGATATCTGCTGTATTTCCAATCTCTCAGTGCTGATGCGAACCTCTAATAAGACTTTGAAAAATACTCTTTATATCTTACTTTTATTCATTTATTATTTTATTTTATTTTATTTATTTTTTTGAGATGGAGTCTCACTCTGTCACCAGGGCTGGAATGCAGTGGCATGATCTCGGCTCACTGCAACCTCCGCCTTCCAGGTTCAAACAATTTCCTATCTCAGCCTCAGGAGTAGCTGGGATTACAGGTGCCCACTACTATGCCCAGGTAAATTTTTTTTTGTATTTTTAGTAGAGATAGGGTTTTACCATGTTGGCCAGGCTGGTCTTGAACTCCTGACTCGTGATTCTCCTACCTCAGCCTCCCAAAGTGCTGGGATTACAGGTGTGAGCCACCGCGCCCAGCCTCATTTTCATTTTTAAGTACTTTAGAGACACCTACAGTGGATTGAACAGCGGCCTTCAAAAAGATCCATCCACACCCTCATCCCTGGGACCTGTGAATGTTAACCGAGTTGGGAACAGGGTCTTCCTGGTGTCGTGGAGTTAAAACTCTTGAGATGAGAAGCTCATTGTGGATTCTGCAGGTGGACCCTGCGTCCAAGGACAAATGGTCTTTAGAAAAGAAAAGCAGAGATTTGAGACAGAAGAGTAGAGTGAAGGAGAGAAGGCCACGTGAAGATGAGGCAGAGGTTGGAGCGATGTGGCCACAAGCCAAGGAACACCTGGAGCCCCCAGACATTGGGAGAAGCAGGAAGGACCCTCCCCTAGAGCCTGCAGAGGCAGCGCAGACAACACCATCAACACCTCTGTCTCAGACTTCTGGCCCCAGCACTGTGACATCATCAGTTCTCGTTGTTTTAAGCCATGAGATTTGTGGTAATTTGTTATGGCAACCACAGGAAACGAATACAGCATCTAATCTCCACAAACCCATATTACAGAAAAGAAAACTGAGGTCAGAGAGGTAGGGGCTTGCCCAGTGTGTTAGGCCATTCTTGTATTACCAGAAAGAAATAGCTGAGGCCGGGCATGGTGGCTCACGCCTGTAATCCCAGCACTTTGGGAGACCAGGGCAAGCAGATCACTTGAGGTCTAGAGTTGGAGACCAGCCTTGCCAATATGGCGAAACCCCATCTCTACTAAAAACACAAAAATTAGCCAGGCATGGTGGTGTGCACCTGTAGTCTCAGCTACTCAGGAGGCTGAGGCAGAAGGATCACTTGAGCCCAGGAGGAGGAGGTTGTAGTGAGCTGAGATTGTGCCACTGCACTCCAGCCTGGGCGACAGGAGAGAAACCCCGTTTAAAAAAAACAAAAAACACGTGAGACTGGGTAATTTATAAGGAAAATAATTAGCCAGCTCACGGTTCTGCAGGCTGTATAAGCATGGTGCCAGCATCTGCATGGTTTCTGGGAAGGCTTCAGGGAGCTTTTACTCATCGTGGAAGGTGAAGCCAGAGCAGGTGCATCACACGGCAAAAGCAGGAGCGAGCGATAGAGAGAGAGAGAGAGAGAGAGCAGGGAGGTACGCACGCTTTTAAACGAGTGGATCTCATGAGAACTCACTGTAAGGACAGCACCAAGCCACAAGGGGTCTGCCCCATGACGCAAACCTCCCACCAGGCCCCACCTCCAACACTGGGAATTACCGTTCAACATGAGGTTTAGGGGGACAAATATCCAAACTATATCATTCCACCCCTGCACCCCAGATCTCATGTTCTTCTCACATTGCAAAATACAGTCATGCCTTTCCAATAGCCCCCCAAAGTCTTAACTCAGTCCAGCATTAACTCAAAAGTCCCAATCCCAAGTCCAAGTCCAACATCTCCTCTGAAGATGAGTTCGTGTCACCTACGAGCCTGTAAAAACGAACACAAGTTGGCATTAGGTAAACATTCCTGTTCCGAAAGGGAGACATCTGTCAAAAGAAAGGAGCTATAGGCCCCAACCAGGTCCAAAACCCAGCAGGACAATCATTCACTCTTAAAGCTCCCAAATCACCCCCTTGAACTCCACATCCCACAGCCAGGGCACTTTGGTGTAAGGGGTGGGCTCCCAAGGCCTTGGGCAGCTCTGTTCCTGTGGCTTTGCAGAATTCAGTCCCCATGGCTGTTCTTCCAGATTGGGGGTGAGTACCTGCAGCTTTTCCAAGTGCAGGCCGCAAGCTCCTGGTGAGCTACCATTCTAGGGTCTGCATGGTGGCCGCCCCCTTCCTGCAGCTCCACTAGGTACTGCCCCAGTGGGGACTCTGTGTGGGCCTCCAACCCCACATTTTCTCTCCAATGTGAGGGCTCTGCTCCTGCAGCAGTCTTCTTCCTGGGCTCCCAGGCTTCCTCACACATCCTCTGAAATCTAGGGGAGGCTGCCAAGCTGCCTTCACTCTTGCACTGTGCACACCTGCAGGCTAAATACCACATGGACGCTGCTGAGGCTTATGGCTTGAGCCCTCTGAAAGCCGCAGCCTGAGCTGTGCCCAGGGCCCTTTGGGCCAAGGCTGGCGCTGGAACAGCCTAGACGCATGCAGGGAGCAGTGTTCTGAGGCTGCGCAGGGCAGCGGGGCCCTGGGCCTGGACAATGAAACCATTCCTTCCTCCTAGGCCTAGGTCTCC